TTATTATTAACAATAATAACAATAATATTATTATTATTAACAGTAACATTAATAATAATAACATGTACCTGAGCCCCGGCTCTCCTTCTCTTTGGGGCCGGGGACCGCGGCTGAGGTTCGCCGGGCTCTCGCCGCTCTCTCCCGGGGAACACTGAGGGCACAGCCCCGCTCTTTAGCGCGGGTTTGGGCGGGATGTTGAGTATCTTCGCCCGGAAGTCCTCCTCGTAGTCCTCCGGTGTGAAGTGCAGGCTGCACACCCGGACGCCGCTGTACCGGGACACCGGGGTGTGCTGGTCGTACCGGGGGCTCCTGATGGCGGCCAGCCACGTCCTGCAGCGCGGCGGGTCTCTGGTCGGTAAACCGTGGAACACGACGCCCATAGATTTGGCCTCATCGTAGCTTCTGCAGCCGGGGACACAGCACCTCCACGGCATGGCTCCGCCGTCAGAGCCGCTCTCACTCACACTCTGAGCGGTCATCTACCGGAACACACGCCGCTGACATGTTAGCTCCGTTAGCATAGCTGCTACCGCCTCTTCTTCTGTTGTTGTGCAATACCGCCATCTACTGGCCACAGGTATACAATGCACATGCACAGTACACGTGTACCTGGTGTGTACATGTACACAGGAAGTAGTGACGGTTGTAGGATTTGTCATGTGATCTGTGACATTAACACAAGCTCTGATTTTAAAATGGAATATCTGTGTGAACGACTGTCGGCCATGTTTGTTTTCACATTTTTAATGAATTTTTAATTTTGCAAGAAACAACAGTTTGATGAAGTTTGGACTGAACCACTGTTCTCTGAGGGGTGTTCTTCAGACGGACGGAGGGTTCCAGGTTCTCTGCTCACCTGAGAGTGGAATCATTTACCTTTACATTCAACTAGATGTTTTAACTCTCCTTCTCCTCCTCCTTCTCCTCCTCCTTCTCCTCCTTCTCCTTCTCCTCCTCCTTCTCCTTCTCCTTCTCCTCCTTCTCTGCAGGACTTCTGGTACACCGCCCTCATCGCCGTCTTGTTCTTCGTCTCCTCCGTCATTTTTGCGACGGACAACAACGGAACGATTCTGGAGAAAAGTGCTGTGGTGAGACACTATATCTCCTTTTCTTTTCCTTTCCTACCTCCTCCTCTCCTTCACTGCTTCCTTTCTTCTTTTCCTTCTATTGTTCCTCTTTTTTCTGAACACATTTTCTCTCATACCTTTGCCACCTCCTCATGTAAATTCTCACCTCCTCTTTCCTCCTCTACCCCTTGCTGTCATTCCCTACCACCTTCCTTCCTTTCCTACCTCCTCTGTTCCTCATTGTTTACTCTTTTAAGCTCCTAGCTCCTTGTATCCTCTCTTACCTCCTTCTGTTGTTTCCGACTTTGTCTTTTCCTTCCCAGTCTCTTCATATCCTCCCTTGACTTCTTCCTCATTGATTCCTTACCTCCTACCTCGCCTCAATCTTTCCTTCTCCACCTCCTCTGTCCACTTCTTTTCTGTCCTATCTCCTATTTTTATTCCACACCTCCTTTTCCTACATTTTCTTTCCTCCTTCCTGTTGGCCCAGTCTCCTTTCCTTTGCTGTTTCCTCCGCAGTTCTTTCTCTCCTCCTTCTTTTCTTTCTTGCTTAAGAATCTCGTTGTATTTGTTTCTCCTCCTCCAGCTGTTTGGTTTCATGGCGATGTTGGCGTTCCTCGTCGACCTGCTCTTCTTTTATAAAACCAGCGGACTTCCTTGTCAGAAGCCGGAGTCCAGTGACGGTAACCCCGCGGTGGGGGCGGCTCAAGCTGAGACGCAGAAACTCAACTCTGATCCTTGAGTGTGAGTGTGAGTGTGAGTGTGTGTGTGTGTGTGTGTGTGTGTGTGTGTGTGAATTGTGCGTTCAGAGTTTAATTTACACACTATTCTTTTCATGTGGCGGCAGGTGGTTGACTTGACGTTTTTCTGAAATCAATTTAAATCCTGTTTTTAGTCGTCGGGGAAACTTTGTTTAACAATTCGATCAATCTTCCAATAATCAACCAATCACAGGTCAGAGAGCGATCAGGTGGAGCGAACACTAAAACCATCCAACCACTAAATACTCAGCTGGAAAGTTTATTTGTGTTCTGTCGACATCAGGAACTCAAATCTGTCAGAAAACTGAAACTCCACCGACACGTTTGTCCACTTTAGTTCAACTGTTTCTCAGTTGAATAAAAGTTTATATGAAAAGGAAAAATAGTTGAAATGAAACATTCAGAGAAAAGTCGACTTGTGTTTGAATTTTTTGAACGTCTCCTGATGATTTAGAGAAAAAAAGTATTTCAATCTGTAACCGGACGAGTTCACAGCGTTCAAAACGTCAATGATAAGAAGTGTCCAGCAGAGGGAGCCGTTTGTCTCCAGGCTTCTGCAATTCACTGATTAACCAAGATCAGCCAATCACACGGTGCCACCCGAAATACGTCAAACTGATCAGTTTGTTTCCACACAGGAAACAGGAAGTGAGTCCCAGATCACATTTACTGTCGCTGCTGCGACGGAAACGTGGAGAAGTAAAAATATAATGAAGCATCTGAAGTGACATCACAAGTTTTTTACGTCTCGAGCTGCTGTCGTCTAACGAACCCACGGAAAAAAATCTGTCACTAAACTCAGAATTAAAAAAGTTTGAAGTCGTTTTCACTCGATTTGGTTTGAAGTGTGTCCGAGGTGTCGTCCACAGATCTTCAGGCTGGTCTTTATTTCTAATTTCACCTTTGTACGTTTAAAGGAGTTTTTCTTTATTTTAAGTGTTTTATATTTTTTTTTTTATAACACAACTTTTGTGTTAAGAGATTTTTTTTGTCTTTTGTTCATCTTGTACTAACTGATTTTATATTGTC